GGCGTGGGGCGCCCAGGCCGCGGGGCTGCCCACAAGGGCGCCGCCGGGGCTGCTGCTGCCGTTCGCCGCTGCGGCCGCAGCTGCGGCGGCCATGTCCCGGGCCATCTCCAAGTCGTCTTCCGTGTAGCTGTCTGCAGGGAAATTCGTGACCTGCATTGGCACCATCAGGCAGGCAAGGGGGAGGCTTGGAGGGAGCGGAGCGGTGATGGGGCTGGGGAGCCCCGAGTGGCGCAGCTGCAAGCCGAGTCGCGTGGGCCAGCACCGGAGTGGCAGCAGTCAGGGGCAGCCGCACCGACCGCCCGGGCCGTCGCTGCGGCTGCGTGCCCAGCCGCCACCGCCAGCCCCTTGGCGTGGTTCATGCGGCCCCGCGTAACCGTGCGCCCCCTGCCACCCACCGCCTTGTCGCCGCGTATCTCGAGCGCCGCGCGGTCGTATGCGCGCGCCGCCTCCTCAGCGGTGTCAAACGTCCCAAGCCACAGCCGGCTGCCGCACCGCGGGTCCCGGATCTCCGCCGCAAACTTGCCCCACGGCCGCTGCCGCACGCCGCGAAACTTGCAGGCCCCGTTCTTGGAGAGCCCGCCGGCGCCGCCGCCCGCGCTGAGCTTGAGCCGCTCGGCCGCGCCCACGCTGCTGCTGAGCTTGCTGCGGGGCCGCATGTGGCTCTTGACGCCGGGGCTGCTGCCAAGCAGGTGCGACGACGGCGATGGCGACGGCGACGCGTTGAGCCCGCCAAAGCCGGGCACGCTGCCGGGGGCCCCCCAGGAGCCGATGGGGAACGCCTGCAGGCCGGGGCAGCTCGCGGACAGGTGGCTGTCGCTCGGGCTCGTGCCCAGGACGCCCGCCGCCGCGAGTGCCTTTGCGCTCGGCACCGGCTGCCGCTTCCCCGCGCCGCGGAGCGCGCACGCGACGGGCGCCGCGGGTGTCGGGTGCGTGGGCGGCGGCGCGCCCATGCTTGGCTCCTCTTCCTCAAAAAGCATGTCGTCGCAGTCGGCGTCGCCGCCCGCGGCGG